TTTTTCTTTTTATATGAGAGCTGACGGCTTCAAATGAGGGCTACAACTGGGGATAGAGGGATATAGAAATTTTTTTATTATGATTGCAGTAGAAAATTGTCCCTCATCAAGTTCTACAATTGTTCAAATCAATTTAGATTTTCCCCTACTTTCACTTACTAATTATTAAAAAAAAAAAAAATTTATATGAGAGTCGGCTACAACTAAATTGGGGATAGAGGGATGTAGAAATTTTTGTTATTATGATTGCAGTAGAAAATTGTCCATTCATACACGTGTTCAAATCAATTTAGATTCCCTTTTTCATATCTCCTACTTTCACTTTCTATTTACCTTAATAATTATACAATACAGCGTAGACACACGCCAAAGATTTCCAAAGATTATCTGTCAATCCCCGTAATAGATTTTTTATGCCTCACCGTATGTAATGAATTTGTTGATTTTTTGAGAAATCTAGTGTAATATCTTTCCATTTTCTTATTATTAAAGTGTACCCAAACATTGAAAATGTCATATTTCCTTGTAATCTATTGTCATATAATAGATTTTCAAGTACCCAAACAGCCCCTTGGTATAAAAGGGCATCTAGGACAATCTTTCCGATCCTATTAATTACGTTGACTCTAAGGGCTAATCTAGCAAAATGGACTTTCACTCCACTCTCTAATATCTATCATCTCTAGCTGCGTGTTTCCGTCTACTGCACCGTTATACTAAAGATGTCATTGTTTGGCATCTAGACCGTCTGATTTTCTTTCTATTGCATTATCACGATGTGGCACAACTTCTCTATTCTACGGTTGTTAAACTATGAGTTGTATTTTCTTTTTATCATTAATAAAAATTGTGTACGGGGGCCTTCTTTCCATTGACTTACCAAAAAAAAAAAACCATGATCATCCTTGAAAGGAACATTATGCCAACAATAATATATGCAAGAAAGTTCACATCCAGTAAATATTGATCCAAAAAAAAAAAAAATTAAAAATATAAAATATATTACAAAATAAACTATCTGCCTTCGTTTAGCATGTCAAATTCATTAAAACTTGAAAATCTAACAAAAAGAAACCAATCAAACATTGGATTCTCAACTAAACCCAGTTTCACTTTGGACCAGAATAACCAAGGAACCAACTCATAAGAGACCTTCAATATAGTATTTGATGAAGTCTCTAACTCCATTATCACCAAAAGGTAGGAGCCCAAAACCCCACTGACTAATCCTCTTGGGAATGGGGTTGAAGTCGTAGTGATAGCACCCCTTGAGCCTCAGCTACCGGTCTAGGTTTCTATTCCTACTAAACGGCTAATTATTTCTTAAAATGGGTAGGGGTCTATACTCCCTACTTATCTACTCGAAAAAACAACGCACTAAAAAAAAAGGGCTTCTCATTTATATCCTTTTCTGGGAAGCAAAACTACGAGGGACTTAGCTTCAATTACAACCACGAAGATCCCAAAACAACACTTTTGCAATGTGCCTAGACTCACGATCAACCACGGAACTTGCCCCCTAGTAAAGGCAAGTTACTTGGCCGAGTCCTCAAGATTCAGCCGAGTTCAACACAAGGCCATTTAGCCCTTCAAAAGTAGAAAAAGACAAAAAGGAAAAAAAAATTAAAAAATTAAAAAAATAACTTGTATTAAAAGTACATTGAAACCTCAATCAACTTTAAAACATTCAAATGTGTTTAAAATAAAGAGAAAAATGGATTTAAAAAAGTCGATTTGTAGTTTGGGACATTTTTAAAATTCAAAAAAAAAGAAAAAAGAAATGACGATTGTGGCAAAAAAAAAACACTTACCAATTTTTGTCAAGTACATCCAAATCATATACAAAAATATTATGAAACAATCCAATATTTTTTTAACAATTTTTAGTATTTCTTTTGAAATTCTTTTAATCCCCAAGTTGTACACTCAAATTAGACAAACTCAGCCTTGCCCTAGTTACTAGCCCGAGTGCACTCGGACTCAGGCGATTTACAATTCGGCCTAGACTCTCTCTCTCTGTGTGCGCGCGCAAAGGTCCCCGTTTGAATCCCATGCTCACCGACCCAAAAAGAAGAAAAGGAAAAATTGATACCATCAATATGCCTTTGAGATTTTATTAGGAAATCACATAAGCTTATTAGGTTAGAAGGCCCTACATTTATTTAAGGAGATAATTGGTTTCTGGATCAAACTTTGGAATCCGAATTCCCTTTATTAGTGTATGTATTGTACAGTGATTCAATGAACGACTCGAGCCGAGTATTAGATCCAAGCTCGAGCTGACTGCTTGGCCTGAGTCCAAGTAAATTCTGGGTAACATAAAAATACATATTACAAATAAATTTATTTTAAAAATAATAATAATTTTTTTTTAATTTGTTTTAAGATCCCCAAGTTACACACCTAACCAAGTCGACTCGGTTGAGTTACTTGCCTAAATTATTGCTTTACATCGTAAAGAATCCAAGTGCAATATCCTCTTTAAACAACAATTAGTACAAAGTTGATGCATTTTTCTGATTAGTTTTTGTTTGCTTTTTAATGGAGAAACAATGGCTTCTTAAAGTTACACGAAGATAGTGGCATAGATATAAGTTAGGTATGCTACAATTCTAGGTAAAGCATTCCAAAGTTCACCTTCTTATGTCAAAATTTGAAAGGTTTGCATAAGAGAGGGAGGGGGCATAATTAATTTAGAGAGCACTTGCTTCCCGACCAAGGAATCATTTTTTACTCATTACCATAGGAAAAGCAACGACACAATTGAGACTTCTCCTTCTTGCATGTCAAAAAGCATTGCCTTTCTCATTTATAATTGATTAATATTATGATCCAGCATTTGCAAATATCTTTCCTTATTGATCGGTTTGCTTAAAATAGTTTGACAATAAAATATTTATATATGCAAACAATCTACAGGGAAAGAATTACTCAAGTTTGTTTTTCCCTATGTTTGGTCAACACACCTGGAAACAGGCAGGGATTGAGAGGCAGGAATACTTATAAATATTGCATGAATATAATCAATTGGTCATGATTGATAGAATTTATGAGAAGAAAAAAAGAAGGGAACATGATAAATACCCCCTGGACTATACTTCTTATGCAATGCTCCCTAAGTACATTCTAAACCACACCTTTAATCTCAATGCATTTTATTTTTATCTCTAATCTCCAAAGAAGAAGCACATGTAACTAAAATTTAATGTAGTTTCTCTCTAAACATTTTGTGATATTTCTTTCTTTAAGTATTTTAAGATATTTTTACTCTCTAAAACTTAGAATATAGTATATCTTTTAAATTTTTTGAGATAGTTTCGCTCTATAAATTTTCAGATAGTCTCTCTCTAACAATTAGGTGGCAACTTTTTTTTTCTTTTATAGATCATATCTTCATATGGTTTACATGGAGCATACTATGTGTATGTTACATCTGTTACAAAAGGCTGAAATTTCATTTATATTATTTCAAGCCAACTTTGAAACATCCCTGAGCGTTTGGCGAGATAAAAAGAAGAAAGAATATATGGAAAAGTGGTGGGTGGACCCATACTCCTCCCAACAACTCTCCATCTTCCTCTGGCCTTTTTGTGTGCTCTTCCCGTGGTCGGTGGCATAAATCATGTGTCTTCAATCCCTACCCAAAGTCTCGTGAGACATTATAACATCGCACCACGTCTAATTTTTTAATGGATTATATCTAATTGACCAAAAGTTCGATTTTTTTTTTTCAACAATGATTTTATTTTTTTTTTATTTTTTTTTGATAATTTGAGAAAGTGACATCCCAAAAAATATGATCGTTAAAATACTCATGGACTAGGTTTAACCCAAGGTAGTTAATGGATTATATGCTCCCACCGGAGCATATAAGTGCTTGGCATAATTAGCCCGGTTGAAAAAAGAATGAAAATAAATTGAGTGAGGATCAATATATGAAAACGCCTATCGGTAATCCGGACCAGCCATCCACGACAGTGGTCCGTATCAGAGATAACGATTCAGCTGAGAGAGTACGCCAACTAAAAGATTCAAGATAAATAAAAAGTAATAAAACAATAAAAAATAAAGGGGGATGATTGGCCGGTTCTGTAAGAACCGGCCAGATCCTACTAGGAACCACCCGTTCTTGATATATAGAGGAACCTTACCAGCTCCACTACCGATGTTTTGAAACCCCTGATCGGTGAGGTTCATCATTCCTCCCCACAAATCCTTGTCGGGTTGTTGGATTGATGATCCAATGTCCGGATCGGTCTAAATCGATGGCCCAAAAAATATTAAAAATATTATAAAAACTAAATAGGAGTTTATGGGGTGGGAATTTATAAATGGCTAAAGAAAACACATGATAAGCTTTAAGAAAATGTAAAAAAATATAAAGAGGGCTTTTGGGGGGACCGGGCCAAGACTCACACCATCGTAGTTCAGTCTTGATTGATTCTTATCCCCATTAACGGTTCAGCTAAAAATCGTGCTGGTTTTAAACATTTTTTTATACCTTGGTTAGGATCAACATTTCAAAACACAATTCAGAGAACCATCCCAAAAACTAATCTAACTAGTGGATTGGCGATCTGACTAAGAGAATCAAGGAAAAAAAAATTAAAAAATTAAAAATTAAAAATAAAATAAAATAATGGAGCCTAATTGACTAATTCTATTAGAAAACTAGCATGTTCCCAATATATTATAAAAACTGGACAAGCCCTATTGATTTCAATATGGATCGATTTCTAACCAGGATTGCCACTTTTCCCAATACACACCGAGAACTTTCCCATTATATAGTGAGAACTATAAAAGCCCCACCGATTTCAATCTGGATCGGGCAACACCACTTTTAAAACCTTGCTTGGGATAGATGAGAGAAAGCGGGTGGGTGCGGTGCTAGAGAGAGAGAGTTGGACCGACATTGATTTCAAAACCCAAAACGGTTGACTGCCGCGTCCCTGGAGAAATGATAAACAAATTAAAGACAGCAAAAACCCAAAGAAGGATCTGAGGCTCCAACTTCAAAGTTTCCATTCCATGAGGACATGATGAAACACACGCACGCACGCACGCAATCTCCCTATCTCTATCTTTATCTTACAAACAAAGGGGTTTGAGAGAGAGAAGAAAGTCTTGTTGACAAGGAAGAAAGTAATAATACAGCGATGATTGGGAAGCAGTCTCTCTCTCTAACTTTTTCTGTGTATTTAGGAGGAGGGGGAGGACCAGAACTGTGCATTCTTGACTCTGGCAACGCTCTGAAGCACACATTGCGGGGATAGGTCTCCAATCACCGTCACCTTCTTGTTTGCAAAATCAATACTGAACGAACTCACACCTGCAAAATAAATATTTGATTAATAACCCTCCTTTTCCTATTCACAAAAACGAGAGAGGAAAAATAACCCATTTGCCATTATTCATATGATATAATATTTGTTCTAGCCTCTCTCAAAATTGAGAGATCACCATTTCTCATCTTTCACAAGCTGTCTCTCTCATTTCCTCCCAAAAAAACTAATATAAAGAACCTCAGTTTCAACATACAAAACCTTTGTGGATATGTAAACAGGAAGCCATTACGCCATCTCTATGGGGAAAAATGAAGAGTCTTTTTGCTTATAGGCTTAACGCTTTCCAATTTTTTCGGACGGCGGGATTAAAAGACGGCAACGGATACAGTAGGTTCGTTGTGGTAGGTTTTACCCAAAAAAACACGGGTAACTGCCGTAGCTCCCATGTATCCATAGCTATTTTTAAGGTAAAACCGCCGCGAACATAGCATGTCCACATTGGGACAAACTACTATTCAATTTCGTGTAGAAGCATTTTTTAGAGTTTTTCATATATATATATAAATGTTGGTGTAGGCCCATTAGCCTACCGCTATATATGAGCTCAAAGGCTCAGATTCAATTTGAGCCAATTTAACGGCCTGTTACGAATGACTGAGAGAGGTGGTGCGAATTTGTTAAGTTCTATTGTTACCTTCCATTCTTGAGATGTGTTTCCTCACTTTCCCTTCACAGCCTTTGCAGTGTAGAGACACCCTCAAAACTACAACCTGCCACGAGGATAATGCACCATCTCACATATTTTCTCTCTCTCCCTCTCTCGCTCTCTCTCTCTCTAAAAAAAACTTAAGCGTTTTCAACTAATAGCAACTAACAAAACGAAAGCCACAAGGCAGACCTGGTCCGGCTGTGAATCAGATGATGACCTTGGAGCTTCATATTTTTTAATTTGAGTACTGGGCCTTTGCTGTTGCTGTCCTTGAAAAGGAACCAAGGCTCGAACCGGTTCAAAATCCGGAATTAGATCAAGGATGCTGCTTGAATCATTAAGAAGATACCTCGACGAACCAGGTGGGCTCCTTAGGACTTCTCTCGACTTCCTCGGAGGCTGCAGGGGTGGTGTTTTCTCCCGAATTTCTCTAGCGGTGGCACTAGAAGAAGGAGATGACGAGTGTTGCTTTGCCTTGGTTCTGTGATGGTGAAATCCTCTTGAACTGCTCGATGAATTCGGTGGCTCCAACGCTTTGTTTCTTCGTGGTGCGTCTTTCAAGAGAGAGGCCTGTTGGTTATGGCGGACTAGGGTTCTGTGATCCAGGCTTGTGCATATTGCAGTGGAAGCAGGAGAAGCGCAGAAGATATGGATGCCCTTCATTTTCATCATTTTGATTTTCTATTCTTTTCCTCTAAAAAAGATGACACCCAACAAAGTCATCAACACTCCTCAGTCCATTACTAGTTTTAGAGATAGAGAGAGAGAGGAGGCCAAGGTCCTAGTGAGAAGTTGCATGATACGATGAGGAAGAAGGTGGATAGAATGGAAGCTCCTAGGCTGAATCGGTGGTCTCCTTTTAAGAAGCTGGTAGAAGAGAGAGAGAGGGGCATGGAAATAGGGGTAAGGAGGGGTAGAGAGAGATAAAGGTGAATGGCCCACAAGAATAGAAGAACCAAAGAATAAAGACATATCATCTTTTGGACTAAGTAAAATCACCAAAATACCCTCAATTTTTGCATAATGTCGTTTGGGAAGTATAGGTTAGAAGTGGAACGGGTCGAGTACAGGTTGGGCTCCGCTGGACCCGAAGACAAAATTTGGATCCATATCTAGATCTGTCGGGTCCCGGTCTAGTCGAATCTATTGCCACCTATTATTATGAGTTTTTTTCTTTTTTATCTTGTTCTGATCGTATGTCCTATGATTATGAGCTTCTGTTTCCTTTATTTGCCAATAATACATAAAAGTTGTCAATATCGTGACAATATACACCTAATTTGCACTTGTAGACACATTACTATCTGTTATACCCTATGACTATGGGTACTAATCAGGCTTGGCTGGATTTATACTCAGACCCAAATAGTATCTAGGTCTAAAATTTAGACCCATATCTGGATATTCGGATTCAAGATCAGATCTATTTGCCGGATCTCGAGTCTAATCGGATCCATTGCCACCGCTAATTTTACACGTAATTAAACTTACTCGGAGCTTGGGTGACCCTATTGCCCTTTTTTTTTCCTTTTTATTTTTTAAATGGCCGTTCAAGCTGCGGTTTCAAGGGGCGGAAAATTGCATCTTTTGCCTCTTGTTTTGTCGCGACTGAAATTAAATACTCAGGTTTCTCTCTTTGTTTGGGCGGTTGGTCTTCTGTAAATATTTAAAGAAACAATCTACAGTAACGATTTGAAGTTTGTTCTTCTTTGTTTTTTTTAATCTTTATTAAGGGGTGAGATTTTGATGGGCTCCACCCCTCCAAAATCAATATGGATTTCGGTAGATAATCTTGACCACCGCCATCTTTGGAAAAACAAATACGTTTTTAATTATAAAAGTATGAAAGACCATTTATCTTTGATGAGTTCACCATCACTCTTGTTGGTCAAATTTCAAATCAACTAGTTATATCATATTGTTGTCTAGATTCAAAGATCAAAAAAGAATTTTTTTAATTTTGTGATGAACCTATGCCATCCAATTTGACATGTAATGACATGTAATAAAGATAAATAATTTTTTAAGATACAATCCATTCTAAATTTATTTATTTATTTATTTATTTATCTATTTATTTATTTATTTATTTATTTATTTATTATTTATTATTTATTATTTTTAACCGTTTTTGTTTTACCTCTACACATATGATTTGATATTGACATTTTTTTGGAGCTGCAAAAATATGGATTTGCTGGACTCGTGAATATGAAACTCATGGTAGACTTTTTTATGCAGCAAGATCTTTTACCTCTGGAACATAGAACAACAATCACGTGATTGGGAGATTTTATTGATTTCATTTAATGTCTAAGAAATTTTTTTTCAAACTTCCCCCAACCCGAAGATTTTTATTAAAGTTTGTGATATATCCTAAGTGGTTAAGATTGATAGTGACTTCTTTATATCAAAAATAAATAATCTCATAGCATACGATCCCATATCTCAAGTGTACCAACAAAGGGTAAAACCGTTGCCTTCCATCTATCATTTACGTGAGTATCCGGTGGAATAATGTACATCCCTTACCCCATCAAACCAATAAAAAAATAAAAAAATCTTTAATCCTTGGTATGGTTTTATTTTGAAAAATTTGTCATCAAAATATCATCACGTGGATGCCTGGCTCAGCTGATCATTTTTCAAATGCAACATCTATCCCCCATTATTTTCTCCAATGTTTCGATATTATGATTAACAACAATTTAGACAACTTAATGACATATCCTTAATCTTACCTCAGTTTATCTTGTGGTTAAGTGTATTTCTCTCATGTTTGTAAAATCGAATCGGAACGGTTAACCGGACATGGGCTTGGAAGCGGTTTAACCGGTCTTACCGGTAAACCGGCTGATTCAACCGCTCTAACCGGGCAAGTCCTAGGCGGTCAAAAAAATGTTGAAAAAATATCAAAAAAATACAAAAAAATCTACTAAAATATGAAAATCATATAAAAAATGATTAAAACAAAACACATTCAAATGAAATTAAAAATTAATGAAAAAAATAGATTTTAACCCATTTTATATTTTCCAATATCTATTTTTAAACTTTTCTAAAAAATATAGGAAAATCTAAAAGTGAGTATTAATGACCAAAACGATTTTTAATCTTTACCATAATGTAAAGAATATTTAAAAATGCATTACAACTAAAATTCTTTATTTTTGAGAATTTATATACATTTATTTGAAAGTTGTTTTTTTTTAAAATACTGGTTGATCACCCTAACCGGCGGAAACTGGAACCGGCCACTTCCAATCTAACCGAACAGTTAGCAGTTAGATCGGACGATGCAGGGGCCTTGGAATCTTTCGGGGATAGAAAAAAATGAAAATCACATGAACATCATTAATGGCGAATATTGAGATCAGCATTTTCTAGTGTAGTAATTAATACTATACTAGTTGAGAAATTTTATGCTCCTGTTAGAGCAAAATGTGCGTTTGCTCCTTTGGTCAAACTCTAGCCACGAGTATTTTAAGGGCAAAGTATAAATTTTCTCCTTTGGCAAGACCCTAGCTTGGAGTGTTTTCAGGACCCCCAAACTTGAAAATGTGATCTACTTAACCTAACAACCAATCTAGAAGAAAGAAAAAATAATAAAAATCAATATTCACTTAGAGCTGCATGCAAAGCCCTAGGATTGCTCATATATGGTCAATTTTTTTGAGATCAAATCTTGGTGTCTAAGTACTCAAATTGGTTTCTTTTTAATACGAATTTGATGATTCTAAAGTGGATCTAAAAATTTAAGATAAAAGAGTCTTCTTAAGTAGGTCATTTGAGGAGATAGACATAAAATTTACTCAAGGGCAATAGCATGAGCACCCTTATATAAAGGGACATGAAACTATACTTCCTATTGCTAAGGCTATTCGAGTACTCATATCCAACATCCATTGCACATATTTTCATGAGTGGTGGACTTCAAAAATAGATCCTACTGAAAAAACAAGCGGTTATAAAGGGTGGGAAACCAACATCCATTGTTTTGGATAGCCCAAAACAATAAAAAATATATTTGTTCAACATATGTCCCTGTAAATACTCAATGTATGATGGTTTATGGTGGCGTGTTATCAAGATAAGCACATTAGACATTGATTGTATTTAATGAGACTATTTACCTTTAATACAAGGAAATCACAATTACCTATAATTGCTGGATATGAAATCTGACAGCTTGGATGTGTCACAAAGTTTGAAATTTTTTTTTTGAGCTTGGTCAATAGAACAAATACAACTGCCCAATTTAAAATATAATGATTAAAATTCATTGTGACCTCCTTATACCAAAAAGTAAAGGATCCTATTGTATATTTTACCTTGTTGGATTTGGTGGTAATCAAATTATCATACCTATATTTTCTTCTAAAAATAATGTATACGGAGCTAAGGTTTATATGAAGAAAAAGATGAATGGTGAAGTTAGATGGGTACATAGTTTGAGATAAAGAAATTCGAAGACAAAGAGTTTGTGAAAATTCCACAATCAAGGCAAGTGAGAAGAAATTACTTCAATGATGGTAGGCAGAGCAATTATAATGATTTTTCTATCAACGTGGAGATTGTTGGATTTTGTAATAGCCAAATCACAATACATATATGTTTTCCTAAAGATTAATGGTACTATAGTAAAAAAAAAAAGATTTTTTGGAAAGAAAGAAAGTGATCTCTATATAAAAGAGTCGATAAAGACATAATATTCATCCTTTTAAGGCCCACCCCTTTGAGGTTATAGGAAAGGATATCCAAGATGGAGATGTGTCTCCAAGAGAGACAAAGACAACCTCTATAAGGGAGGTGGTATTCTCATGGGTATTTGGTTGGTAAGGTTTCCAATTTTAGAGAGAGAAAATCTCTTGATTGCTCTCAAGGTGCTCCTTCTTATGGCAGTATTGCAGTAGGAATGAAGATATTAATCGAGATATTATGGCTAGTTCGGGAGAGCAGATTTAGAAGGTTAGATCACTAAAGATTTGATTTACCAATGTTTAGAGAGATGTATATCTTTTGTAACCCAAAGGTGTAATCTTTATTGTGATAGTGGATTTCTAATCGTCAAGGCCGTAGATGTAGCCCTACAAGGTGAAATGCGTAAATCGTGCATCATTGTGGTGTGCTTTTAGTGTTTACTTTATTTCTTGCACTCTATTTATAGTTGTATTCATCTTATTTCACACTTAACCAATTATGTAAACAATCTTGGGAGGGATCCCGATTTTTGAGATTCCTAGTTCCACAAGTGAGGGGTTCCCTATTATCTTACATTCATTGAGAAATGATTGAGTTTGTCAAATTAAATTTTTTTTAAGAATGGCAAAATGGATTGTGTTTCAAAATTTGGATGAGTACGCGTGCCTAATTCATTTTCTCTATTTTAATTCTTCAAAATTATAGGATGTATGCCGTTTTTGGAGCTTTACATTTGGGAATAAATTAATTTGCATGACCTGAGATGTATTTAAAGTCCTTGATCTCTCGAAAGCCACAATAGATGCATGAGTTAGTTGTCTCTCCTCATCGGATAAGTCCCACTGGGCATATATCCTACATGAAATGGATAAAGCAAAATAAACCCTAATTAAACTTGATTGCTTATTGATGCTAAACGGATGGATAATAGTAGTGGCCCGTAGTGGTGACATAAAGCAATATTTTTTACGAATAATTTAAGTCCTTGGGGATCGCTGCCTGCAAGACCAGATCGAATCTGATGCCCCCCCCCTTGCTTTACCGGCCTCACCCATTAATATCCATTCCCAATCTCCCTCTGCAAACCTGCGACTCTCTCTCTCTTTCTCTCTGGGGGGCAGTGGAAGGGGTAGTCTTTGCTTTATTTTTTGGTTGGTAGTCTAATGTTTGGAAACTCA